GTACAGCTGTCTCCTGATAGCATAGAAACAAGGAAACAAGAAAGACAGCGAGCACTATTGTTGTTTATTAATAAAGAGGTTTTTTTTTTTTTTGCATCACAATATGATAGCATAACATTTCAGTCTATAAATAGCACCTTTTTTGTTGTTTTATGGTACTTTGATCAGCTATGCGTTCTCTGTTTCTGCCACCATTGATAGACGCTATTACAGTTCATTAGCAGTAACCATGGTAATGACATTTAGAGACACTGATTAATTACACCACCTAATGAATCAAGTCTCAAGATTAGACGAGCCATCAAAGAGAGAAAAGTTATAATATGAAAACACAATCACAAAAGACCCAAGAAACTGATCTGCCACAAAAAGCAATCATGTGCATACGGAAATATAAACATGCAAGGAACGCATTCAAGGAAGGCCACGCAGCTGCACTTCCACGTTGAATGGGAGTTAAATAGGAAATTAATTAGAAGCTTTAATGCTGCGTCTTTCTTTTAACCTACTATACAAATAGCCTGCCGGGTGACTTTTAAAGGGGATGCAGCATCATGTTTTATCACATTCCATTTGAATTTGCTGTAATTGCACCTACTGCCAGATATACGATTTTATGCTAAGTGAAGCGGTAATGTGTAAATGTGACACTTCTAGGTATTTATTTCCTCTCCCAGAAATGTATCTATTTATTTAGTAAAGGCACTTATATAATGCTGACAATTTACACAGCACTTTTTTATATACTGTACCATTCACATCAGTCCCTGCTGTCATGGAGCTTACAATATAAGGACTCTATCTAACATTCATCATGTGTCAGCAAAAATCCCACCCCCGCACCCCCCCCAAAAAAATAAATAAAAATCAAGCACTAATCTTCAAATTTACATCTTAAGCATTCATTCCTATTGCAAGCAAAAATTCTCCCCAAACAAAAATTCTGCCTCTTCCAGTACAAATCCCCCCTCCCAGCTCAAATCCTGCCCTTCCCCAAATCCCCCTCTTCAAACACAAATCCTCTATCCTTTAACCACTTCCATACCGGGCAATTTTACACCTTCCTGCCCAGGCCATTTTTCAGGTTTCAGCGCTTTCACACTTTGAATGACAATTGCGCGGTCATACAAACATTGTACCCAAACTAAAATGTTATCATTTTCTTCACACAACTAGAGCTTTCTTTTGGTGGTATTTAATCACCGCTGGGGTTTTTATTTTTTGCTAAATTAACAAAAAAAAAGACCAAAAATTTTGAAAAAAAAAAAAAACACGTTTTTTCTTTGTTTCTGTTATAAAAGTTTACAAATAAATAATTGTTCTTCATAAATTTAGGCCGAGATGTATTCTGCTACATGTCTTTGGTGAAAATAACCCAAATTAGGATGTATTATTTAGTTTGTAGGAAATTTATAGAGTTCACAAACTATGGTATAGATCTGAATATTGATCAATCCTGAAGTACTGACAGCCAATCTAATTTCTTGATGTCCAAGAATGTCAGAACAGTACAGATATCCCCCAAATGTCAGGACGGTACAGATATCCCCCAAATGTCAGGACAGTACAGATATCCCCCAAATGACCCCTTTTTGCAGAGTAGACAGTCCGATGTACTTCATAAGAGGAATGGCGAGTTTTTTGAAGTTGTATTTTTTTTTGTCATAATTTTTCGTAAAAAAATTATTTTCACTATTTTTTTTTTACATACTGTCACCAGTGCAGTACAGCATCATCATATAACTGGCATGGCGGTGAACAGGGACACTGACTGGTGACAGTATGAAAAAAAAATATATATATATTTTTTTTAATTTTTTTTATTTTTTTATTATTATTAATTTTTTATTACATTTGTTTTTATTTTTTTAAGATTTTTTTTCATATTTTACTATGACCAAAGTAGCACAATGTTACCATAGTAACATTGGGGAAGTGATCAGTATTTTTTTTTTTTTACACAATTTGCTTATAGCAAAGAATTACTTTGCTATAAGCAAGCATTTACCTGAATGACATCGATTCATTCAGGGTTTTTTTTTTTTTTTGTGCTTTTTTTTGCCCACAGCTAATCACATGACATGTGCATGTGATCGCTGTGACCATTCACAGCTAGACACTAGTATACAATGGATGGCATGAATGAAGCCATCCATTGTATACAACTGTCATGTGACAAAAGGTAGTAACTGTGGGGGATGGACTGTCATATGGTACTGGCAACGGGGGCCGGTACTCAGATCTGTCATCGGCCGTGTCCGAGGTACACGGCCCGGTGACAGATCGCGCCGCTGCGCGGCTCTGCAACCGCGCGAACTGCGCATGTGCGGGAACACGCCAAATGGCGTGCACCCGGAAAGCTGATGCATTTTTGCCGCTGCCAAACGGCTATAGGCGGGCGGCTAATGGTTAAATTTCCCCTCTGAGCAAATCCCCCCCCCTCCAAATTCCCCTTCTCCTAGCACTAATCCCCCCCTACAATTTTCCCCTCCCAGCACAAATCCCACCTCCAAACCATCCCTTCTAGCATAACCCCCAGGGCAGCTACTCTTCCTATCTACCCCTTGTCCTGGCCCTGCTGGGGCAGTAAGCTGTGGCCTGGGAATTCTTCACCTTGCAGGTGAACGTACCAAAGGATGCTGGTGACATCATTGACCAAATACTGTATGGCCACACGTGGTTATTGGCATTGTCCAAATATGGTCATGTGGCCATATTTGGATGATGACATCAGCCAGCATCCCTGCCCCTTTATTGCGTGTGGCGGCAGAGAAACCCCTGGTCACAGATGATTGGGCCAGCGGTGTGCTATCATGATGTACTGGATTTGGTTCAAACCCTAGTTCATCATTACAATCAAGCAGATGGAGAACCTGTTGATAAATAAATAATGCAGCGCTGAAAATTCATAAAGTGACTGATGCATCAAAGTGTGAGCGCTATATTGCGCTAAAGTGATAACAGTATTATTAAAGTGTACCGTCATGAGCTGACGTAATAAATAGTGACTTATAAAACAACTTCATTGTATAATAACTGTAATTAGGACATATGATTAATAAAATCTGGAAAAAATATGTAACAGTCCAAATTTTCTGTGAAATCTGTGATAAGGATCAGTAGTGTGATTGTACTCACCAGAAGCGCAATATTTATGCGCATGTGTATATATTATCCTCTGTGGTCATCTGGGTTCATGCAAGGAATAGGAATCATCTGGCACACAGATAGCATACAAGGCGTAACTCCAGACCTCACTCACAGGACCCTCTCAGTATACAGGAACAGCTCCTCAATACTTCATCACCACCGGACAATAATAGCTCAAAAGAGGATGTTTCCACCTTAAAAGGATCGTAAACCACAAGCCACAAACAATAGTGTAGTATTTTATTGGTATGCAGAAGGATCAATCCACAAACAGCTGCCAGTAACAAACTTACAGGGACAAAGATGGCCGCCGGCCTTCCATGCTGCCTCTGCGGCGTGACGTCAATACGGCAAGGCTCCTTCCCCAATTTTATTTTGAGGATACAGAGGTTCATCCTGAATCAGGGGCGGACTGACAACTCATGGGGCCCCCAAGCAATAGGGGATCATGGGGCCCCTGTGTCCTTGCCCAAACACAAAAAAGCCTATGTAAAAGCTACCAGGGGCATCTCATGGGGCCCCCTACTGACACCGGGCCCTCGGGCAGTGCCCAAGTTTCCAAATGGTCAGTCTGCCACTGTCCTGAATGTTAGCTGCTATTGTTCAACCAGGCGCTCGCTCATTACCAGTTTCTCAGATGGAGAACATGCAAACTCCATGCAGATGCCCTGGCTGGGACTCGAACCACAGAAGGCAGTGCATTAGAGCAGAAGTGCTAACTTTCTAACAATACCTTCATCTGTTTATCCTCTCCAGAAGGAGGGAGTCATCCAAGGTCACCATCTACTTCCTGAGCTGGGATATCTGTTTAAAGATGACACAGTCATGTAAATCTTGGTGCCTGTGCAGTTCTTGGTTTTGTTAAAAATTGTCTGACATAGACTAGGCCCTGTTGCAGCCTCTCACCTTGTGATTTGTTACAAAGTTACATTGTTGCAGTCTGATCACTGAGGAGAATAGAGGAAATGCTTTCTCCTGCCTGCAGCAGAGTGATAACATCATTCCAACTTAGGCAGAGTCACTGAACTGGAGTTCAAGGGCTCCTTTAATGGTAACTGATCATTTCTTTTTCCACTTCTGCTCAGAATGCCCTTGTTGGCCCTTGAAACAAAAAGGGTGTGCAGGTGGGTGGCACTTCTCCTCAAAGTCAGTA